AAAAAAGTAAGAATAAATAGTTATTCAATATAAATTTTAAATTTTATAAATAGTTATTCAAATTTTAAAATTTTTTTCATTAAAAAATTTTTTTGGTGATGATCAACAAATGTGCGCATTTTTTATCTAACACACGCGCCCGCACACAATTTCACACACTGGGTGGGGGAGTAAGCACTACTATTAAAATGATATTAGCTAATATATGTCAGTACCCTTAATTGTTTCTATGCAAAATTTCGACCAATGAGAAAATAGTGGACACATGACTTGGAATTAAAAAAATTTTTTTATGGACAATGAATTAAAAAATGACAAAGAAAATTATTTTTTATTTTAATTGAACTAATAATAGAAAAATGCATAAAAATATAAGTTAAAAAAATTGTCAGAGCACTTGCATGGGAGGAAATGCTTGGACCTGTTGTATGTGAAATTGAAATATTATGGAATGGGGTGAAATTCTGATTGGCTAATTTGAATTTCACATATGTAAATTTGAATTTCACATATTCACATAATTTCATTTTCACATACAACAGACCCAAAGCCATTTTTAAGTATTACCTATTCTTTGGGCACTGACAAAAATCTAACCTTCACTATTACTACTGCTATTCTTTTTATTATTATTGATAATATTATTATTACTAATATTTATATTTTTGTTGTTTTTATTATCTTCTTCATCTTCCCTCTCCACCACTTTCTTCTTCTCTTTCTCAACCCACTTCTGAATTGCTTCTATTGTTTTCCTTTTAGGATTTGTTTTCTGTTGGTAAAATTTTTTTATTGTGGAAGCAACAACACCTTTTTCCTCTGCAAGTATTCACGAATTTCAATGATCATTTTACTGAATGAAAAATTTGGATTTAGTTCTGTCTTTTTGTCAAATAATTGTTTGAAACCCTTCCATAAATTTTCTATTTCTTTTTATCACTAGTAGGTTTGTTTGTTTTATGTCTCTTTCTTGGTTCTATTCTATTGATTTGATCAATTTTTTGATTTATAATAGAGAACTAATTTTGATAAGTTTTATAGTGAAACAAGAAACCAAGAAAAAGTCCAATTAACAATCTGCAAAAAAAATTCACTATTGAAAGTGTGCATGTTTAAAATTTTATTATGAATGAAAATATTGTGTAAATATTTATTGATTATTTGATTGTTTTTAAACTAAAATAAAATTGTGTTAATGATTATTATTTAATTTTTTTTTATCTGAAAATAAATGGACTGGTGATACTTTTATAACATTCCAATACAAAGCAGGATTATTTATTTTGTTTCAATATCAATGAGAAAAAACAAAAATTTATATTCTTGAATGTAAAATTTGATCAAACTTTTTTTTTTAATGATAAGCAATGCAATATTATAATCTTCTTTGTATATAGTAAAAAATATAAATCAATATTGCAACAATGAATTATTTTCCTTCTAAGAATTTCTGCTTTTTGTTAGATGATAGCATACCTTCACTCTGCTTTTTTTTTAACATTTTATGATTTTTCTTTCTTCTTGGTAAATTTAATAAGTAATCCTTTCTTTTCTTAGATAAGCTTCAAGTGTCTGAGTATCATTTATTTTGAAAATATAGGGTGCAATTTTTTCACCTTGTTCCTTTTTTAAAATACTTCTAATGGTGCTGTAATTCTTGGGTTCCATAGTAGACCTAATGTAAATTAATTTCATATTACTATATAGGGGATAGTTCTATATATCACTTAAGATAACAAATGGGATATTAATTATGATCACATTAAAAATGACTAAATTTTGATCCCTGAAATATTTGGTAATACCAATGTTCACTTTGTCTGTCTGGTTTTGTTGCAGCATGCCCCATATATAGTGATAGCAAAAAAAAAACAAAAGTTCAAAAATAATATTATTTATATAAAATATTTATAAAACATTTTCTAAAAACACTTCAAATACTCTGCTTATTACAATTAATTTTTTTATTTTAAAAATTTAATATAAATATTTTCATCAGAGAATAAATTCAATTCCATGACTTTATTTTTGTTTCTTAGCACTCTTAGCATGACGACGGCCAGTCTTCTTTTTATGGACTTTATTAGGCTTTTGTGATTCATAGATGGCTGACATACGAGCCAAAGCTTCCTATTATTTAAAAATTAAATGAATGAATGAATGAATAAATGAATAAACAATTTTCCCAAACATTCAAAATTGTAAAAAAAAAAAGTGTTTAACCTTTCGTAAATCAGGTCTATATCCAGCACGAGTTAAAGAGTTAGCTATACTTTTAGCTGATTTACGAATTCCTTTGGACAAAACGACTTTACGAGTGTTTTTTGCAGGTTTGTAAGATACACCTTTAGTTTTTGTAGTAACAACAACACCTCTACCCTTTGGTTCAGGACTTATACCAATTGACTTTATAAATTTTTTTTAAAAAACAGAATTAGTTAATAATATGAATATAATTGTCGATTTGAACAAACTATAATTTTAAAAATTTAAAAATTTAAAAAAACCTTCTTATTGGCAAGACCAGAATGCTTGAAGGAATTCGAATTGGTCAAATTATTTGGTTCAGAAGAGAATTGTACACCATTGTGTTTTATCAAAAAAGAATTATTATTCTTGACAAGAAGCCTATTAAATTATTATTTAACAGATTAAAAAAAAGCACATTTAAAAATAAATAAATATATATTTACTCATGTATGATCTTTTAAATACCAAATTAAATCAGTCGACATTTTTTTTTTCTTTTGATTTCTAAATTTAATTAAATGTTAATTGGATTTTTACAAACATAAAGAGCAATATTCATTATACATACATGCAATATTTCAAACAACCGATTTCCAAAAAATTTTTAGAAGATGGTTGAATATAATTGGGCTTTATATATATGGACCTCTGTGTCACATGAGCGTGAAAACTTCGCGTAGTCTTTTCAAAAATCTGATTTAAAAACAAATCGTAAAATTATTATTTATAAATAGATATGGATAAAGAAAACATTGTTACGTTGTTGACACCAAAAAAGATTGCTTCTATGAAACGAAACGAGCTCGAAATTATTTGCAAACAGCTCGGTTTGAATAGTAGTCAAAAGGTAAAAAAAAAAAAAAAAATCTTTAGTATTGAACATCCAACTCACTCAAATATGTCCATTAAACATAAATTATCATTTATATTATTATATATATAGAATTCTGTTTTACAAATAAATTTAGCAAAATATGCATTGAAGGAGTTGAGTGGTTGCGAAAACGATGATATATCAACAGACATAAAATGTTTCCGACAACAATAACATCCATCACGAATCACAAATAGATACGATGTCAGATGACGGGTATTTTGATGAAATACGAAAAAGATTTTTACCAAGTCTGGTGAATATATTAAAACAATTCAATCATCAATCATTGTTATATATAATTTGACATTTGTTAATTGAAACTTACTTTATTAAATCAACTTAAGAAAGATCATGAAAAAGAACAACTTGATATAGACAGTTTGGAAATAGGCAAATATTATTATTATTTGCTATCATCGTTATCATCGTTGTCATCATTATATTAAAATTTCATTTATCATAATAATAATTTATTTAATATTCAAAAGAATCTCCAAAAGCCACTACTTTGGAAAATATTAACAATAAATCTAGGCAAATTTTTTTAAAGAAATTTGGAAGGGGAAAAAATCTCATTAGGACCAGACCTTCACGAATTCCTAGACTTTGCCAATCAACAAATATGCAATCCATCACAACAAAAAATGTTATCTCTAAATTACAGGAAATGGGAAGATTAATTGGGTTGAAACGAAAACATATGGAAACTAATGTTGTTGTTAAATCATCCACGTCATCAAATCATAAAAAGATTAATAATAATAATAGTAAAAATAAAAATATTATCAAAAAAAAACATATTCCAAGGAGAATTTATATTAATCAAGAAGAAAAAAGAAGGCGTGAAAGAAAAGAGCTCTTGAAACGAAAGCAAGCAGCAAGGAATGGTTAGTAAATTATATGATATTCGAAAATAATATTTAATATACAAGATAAATCATAATATATTGCTGTTATTATTGCATTCAGTCGCGCAGCCAGTTTTGCAAAGAAAAAATCTTAAAAGAAGATAAATTATGTGATTTACAATAAACGGCAGCATGTCAGATTTATCATTCACTATCTAATATATTTTCAGTAATGTAACAAAGCATGATAAATAAATTAAAAATATTTTTTTATTTACAGTTGAAGAATTCTATATATATATATATATATATATATATATATCTACTTTTATATACATCTATCTATGTTTATATATTATATTATATAGCTTTTTGTGTAATTATTTATAATTGATTGGTGGATTGATTGACTTATAGAAAGAGAGAGAGAACATAACGTAGAATGTCTAATCAATTAAATTAAATTATAAAATAGTTTTAAGCTTAAAGAACTTTTTATGAATAAAAAATACTCTATTGAACAATTTCTAAAGCTTTTTTTGAAAATAGATAATTATTATACTGCAACTATTACTTGTATATATACGGTGTAAATACTTTTTTCAACTGTTTCAATTCAGAATTGTAACTAAGACTAATGTGTCCATTTATTTTAATATCCAAGAATTAATTCAAAATATCTTTCCTCTTTTATAATGATTTATTACAAAAATTAAAAAAATTTTTCTTAATAAAAACCTTTTTTAAGCTTGTTGATATAATGATTAAGATGCTGATACTGATGTTGATGCTGGTACTGATTTTGATGTTGATGCTGATGCTAGTACTGGTGTTGGTGATGATGATGATGGAGAAGCAGATGATGGTGGCGATGACGATGGTGGCGATGATGATGATGACGACGACGACAATGCAACGATTTCTTTTGGAGGACGAAAATAGCTAAATTATTATAATAATAATAAACGTTATACAAATTCTTCAATTTCCAATTTAAAATATAATCGTAATGAAACAATGACAATAATAATAGTTACTCTTGGTTTAATGTTCCATCAGAATAGACGATATTTTTTGTAATTTCCAAATCAGGTCTTATACTAAATTTTAGTCTCATTTGTTTAACCCACTCTTGTTTACCTTTTACTTCGTTACTATTATCAGTTGTTTCTATTATTGATTCTGTTATTGCTGAAGAAGAAGATGTAGAGAACATTGATGATAATAGGAACAATGTGGTGGGTGAATTAAATTTTTTTTTTTTAAAACACGAAAAAAATATATTTATTAATATTGGTAGTAGTACAATTAATTGATCATTATGAACCCCAAAATCAAATGTTCGCTTTGCCCCATTTAACATGGTTGATTATTTCATTATTCATTCGTTAGAAGAAGAAGGAAAAAATGACACCTAAATTAGATCCAAAAGCTGCCATTCAAAGTAAATTAATTATTGAAATATTATACAAACCGATAGAATTAACCTGATTTGGAATGATCTTATATAGATATAAGCAATTTGTACGAAATAATATTTAATCATCCAAAAGAATCAGTTGATAAAGAAATAAAATCATTCGTTAAAGAATTTGAAGTAAGTTTTAGTTTTTTAAATTTTTTTTGTTTCGATAACAAAAAATATAATTGTAAAATAAATAAAAATTAACTCGCTTTAAGGCTACGAGAAACAATCGTGAATCAGAAAACCTTGCAAAATGTGTTAAATTTATCCAAGATTCACCTAACAGATTAATAGATGGAAAAGAACATATGGAAAAGAATATTAATGATGTGAATGAAAAGTGTAAGTTATATTGAAAACTATTTATATGATTTGATTATTACTAATAATATCGATATTCTTTTGAATAATAATATAATTGAAAAGTGAAAAAGTCAAAATCAGAATTTGAATCATTATTAAATGAATTAAACGAATTAAAACAGGTTTTTTTTTCACTATATAATAAATAATAATTTTTTTCATGATAATGATGCTGATGATGATGATTAATAGTAAAAAAAAAACTGGTCAATTAGCAAGATAAACCAGATCACTATTCAACGGAACGTGAAAAGTTTTTGAAAGAGTTGGATAAAAAACGGAAAGATTTTGAGATAGAGATGAATGGTAGGGAACAAGAATTGATAAAAGAGTATCGATTAAAGATGGAAGAGGGATTAAGAGGTGCCCCAGAAACTACATAGCAAAATAATAATATCTCGTAATGTATATATTTAAATCTATATTATTATTATTTGTACATTTTATTATTTATATTATTTATATTGTTAAAAAAAGTTTTTTTTCAATTATTCTTAGTTAATTATATAAATTATAAATTATAAATAATAAAAAATTTTATTGAGTATAATAAAGTTATAATGAAATGATAATAATAAAAAGAAGGTTATTATTATTATTATTATTATTTATTTTATTTTGTTTAAATTAAAAGATTTTTTAATCCCATCCTGTACTGGTTTCTTCTTGAGCAGTTTCATTTGCCCAATCTCCGCTTGGTGCTTCAGGGTCCCAACCTCCTGCACCTGTAGTATTAGCTTCTACTGACCAATCACCACCACTAGTTTCAGTGACGATGGTTGTGGTAGTTGTAGTAGTAACAACAGGAGTCTCAGTTTGAGCGGTTGTTTCGATAACAGTAGTAGTTGATTCAAGAATATCACCCCAACTTCCTCCTCCACTTGTATCTGGTACATCCCAATTTGATGCTCCAGCATTGGCTGTAGCTGCGGCAACGATTTCAGGATTAACTCCACCAATAGATGTTGTACCAGACGCATCCCAGCCACTTTGAGCATCGTGTTGATTCCAGTTAGTCTCATTTTCATATGTCTCATAAGTAACTTTTTCTGCGGCAACTACTTCAGCTTCCTTTTCAACTTCCTCAGGATCACGATAAAAGAACATATCAACCATTACACCCCATGATTCTTCGCGAGAAATGGTACCACGAAGACGAAGAACTTCACGAGCCAATAACCAGTATATTAAACCGATAGCATGTTTACCCTTATTGTTGGTTGGAATTGCGACATCTACAAATTTAAGAGGAGAATCTGTGTCACACAATGCAATCACCGGGATGTTGACATATGAGGCTTCTTTGATAGCTTGATGATCACTACGTGGATCAGTTACTATGATTAATCTGGGTTCCTTGAAAGAGCGAGTGATATAATTTGTAAATGTGCCTGGAGTAAATCTACCGGCTATAGGTTGAGCTTGTGTATAAGATGCAAATTTTAATACTGCTCTTTGACCATATGGACGAGCTGAAATAACACAAACATCGGCAGGATTTTCTATGGTCGCAATGATACGGGCTGCGAAAATCAACTTTTCCCATGTTTTACCAATATTAATGACATGAACACCTATTTTTTTAAAAAAAAAAAATTTTTTTTAAAAATTTGATAATCATTTATATGTTTTGTATATATTATATTTATATATTTATATATTATATATATTATATATAAATATCCATCTATATGTTACCATCTGGACGTCGTTTAAAGACATAAGGAGTCATTTGAACATTTAAATTTTTAGCTCCGATATAAGTTTGAGCTGCTAGGAGAAGACTAATATCCTCCTCTTTAGCTAAACATATTTTTTTGTTAAAAAATCAATTAGTTAATATTAATTTATATAATCTGATTTTAAAAATTCATCAAAAAAATTTTATAAAAATAGATTTTAAAAAACTAATTGATTGATTAATTGATCAATTAATTACCATTTAATATAGCTGGAAATCTATCCATGACTTTTATTTTTATTAAAAAAAAAAATATCTAACAATGGGAAAAGGTTTTAAAATTAAAAAAAAAAATTTTTTCCTTCTTTTTTTGATTGATAATTTTTTCAAAAAAAAATTTTTTTTGATCATCAACATTTAAATATCACATGGTTTTTAAAAATTCTAATTACACATTTAGCAACAACATGAATCTTTTGTTGAAATAATTAAATAGTAAAAATAATAAATTAAAAATGTCATCAGTTTCAGAAACATCCAAAGTAACAACAGAAACAAATGAGAATGAATTAAGTGCAGAAGAAAGATCAGTGTTAATAAAGTAATTTTATTATCAATCAATTTCGAATAATGTAATATTCTTTTAACTTTATTTCTTTTAAAAAAATCATTATTCTTCTTTAGGGAAGTGATTGAATTGCAAGAAGGATTGAAAGGTTTTCAATTATTTTTTAATTAAAAATATATTTTTTCCTTTATAAACAAGAACTAACCAGCTAAAAAATCAATCGATAACTTTAATTAGCATTAATTCAAAAAGTAGAAGCAGTTAAAGATGATCATAATCAAATACAATCAGGGAATCAAATACTACAAACTTATATAAACAACTTAATGGCTTCAAATGTTTTATCAAGTTCTGTCAATATAAATACTATCAATGCTAATAATAATAATAATAATAGTAATAATAATAATAATAATAATAATAATAATAATAATAATAATAATAATAATAGTAACAGAAATAATAGTAATGGGAGTGGAAGCAATTTATATAGTTGATTATAATAATATGTTAACAACAATCAATCGAACAAGATGAGAAAAAATCATGAACGTTTAGAAAAAATCTCCACATATTCAAGGTAATTTGGTAATGTATTAATTAAATAATTATATACATATAATTTTATTTTTAAAAAATAATCAATCTATTACTTTAAATATTGAATGAATCTATTTAGGAGGGGAAATAAAAAATTTTATATTTTTTTTCACAGTTGGACACAATTAAATGATGATGATGATGACTGTGATTTTTAAAATTTACTTTCTAATTATATATAATAGCTTATAGAAAAAAAGAAATTTTATTGATGTGTATGTGTCAAAAAAATGATTAAAATAATAATAAATATTTTTTTTTAGAACATTAATGCATCAAGACCTCCTTCAGCAGCTTGTTCCTATATATTTCGAAAAGTAAAAAGTAAAAAAATATAAGCGATGAATTACTCTAAACAAAAAAAAACCGTTATGTTAAATATTTTTTTCTTGCATACCTTAACAAACATTTCAAAATATGAGTATATAATAGTGGTTGCCAACAGTATTCCTGTGCCTGAACCAAGTGCACCTTTAATGTCATAAACACATACGACACATATATCAATTAATTCATTATCCATATAAATTTTTTAAAAATTAAACATCTGAAACAATCGAATTACTTACCGAGTAAATCGGCACTAACAGATAAGGCTCCAATACAAGCACCACCAAAAGCAGCAGCAATAGGAATGATACGTTTTAATTCTTTGTACATTGATGATTCACGATATCCAGCAATAACCATTCCTTGATCTTTAAGTTGTTTGGCTACATCGCGTGGTGAAGATCCTGAAACTTCAATCCAAGTTTTGGAGAAAAGAGCACATGCTGATAACATGAAAACAATATATATAACTGTGTGAATTGGATCTTTGATGGCATCAATTATACTTTGTGGTGGTGATATGAAATATGCAAGACCGCCTGACGCAAATAATTGTGAGGATCCTTCAAATGGCTACAATAAATTAAAATTATTATTATATATAAGTTTTTTATATATATGCATGCAATATATATTTTTCATAAAAAAATAAACTCACAGTCCAAACACCTAAAAGTCTAACAAGTAAATTATCAGGGAAACGATTATATAACATTTGTGAAATCAAGAAAACATTAGAGGTAAGAGCGGATTGAAGCATGATGGGCATATTTGAAGTATAAAACAATTTGACTGGATAAGTTCCATATTGACCGCGAAAACGATTCGATTTAACAGGAATTTCAACACGGAAACCTTGAAGATAGATGACAATAGCAAAAACTACCCCAGTTGCTATTAAATTCATGACATTTGGTAAGTTTGTTCTATAAAATGCTTCTTTCAGTGCACGAGTTTTATCATTACGAGTGAAAACTAGATAAACCAATGCAACCAAAGCTCCTTCAAATTCGGGTCCACGCCCTGTGTTAACAGTCGTTGGACTAAATGCTTTCCAAACTATTGACTCACAAATATTTGTAGCGATAAAAAGTGAAATTCCAGATCCTAGACCATAGCCTTTTTGAAGAAGTTCATCCAACAACATAGAGATGAGACCGGCAAAAACTAATTGAATGATAAGCAATAGACAAACACCAGCTCCGATTTCTGACGGATTGCCATACAATCCAGTCATCACAGATACTGTAGCTTGACCAAAAGCGAAAACCATTGCAAAAAGTTTCTGAGCACCGCTGAACAATGCTCTATCTTCTTTCAAACTGAAATCAACCTCAATCAAATTTGCTCCAGCTAAAAGTTGCATAATCATTCCCGATGTTACAATAGGTGTTATACCCAATTCCATCAGTGTACCTCTGTTCGAAGCAAGAATTACACGTAACCAATATAAAGGATCAGATGAATCAGATGACATTATGCCATATAATGGAATTTGTGAACACACTAAAAAAATAAGGAGCGTAACAGCTGTCCACAAAATTTTTTGTCGAAAGGGTACCTTCATGACATAAAACATGTTATTATAGTGAAATTTTTATTAATGAAAAAACTTTTTTTTTTCAAATTAAATGGTACTGACCTTTCTTTCAGGGGCTGTAACTTCTGGAAGTATGGCCATGAAAGGCCTGATGAGATTTAGAAATCGAACTAGAAAATGAATAATTTAATCTTTAGTTTGAAAAAAAAGCCTTAATTCAAATAAAAAAAAGATTATTATTATTATTATATTATTATAATACTCACAACTCATTGTATAATCGGTAATATTATATCATATGGTTTGGGGAAAAAAGTAAAAAATAATAATTATTATTATTATTATTGAAGAAAAAAAGAATTAAAGCTTGTTGTAAGCTAGGATAATAAAAAAATTGTAATAAAAAAAAAACAACTTCAAGCGAAATATTTATACATGTGTGTGAAATTTCTGTAATTTCATGAACCAATCAATTTCGTACACGATTAGAAATTAGTGAAACTTTAGAAGTTACACGCGCTGTGTTATAAATATGGTAGATCACATATATTAATATTGATAAATATGTTTAACGAATCATCATCACCGATAAATTCATCTTTTAAAGAAAACAATTCTGATACAAGTAAAAAAAGATCCAGATCTACAAAAGGATTTAATAATGACCAGCCAGCTAAAAAAACAAAGTTTCAAGAAAATTCACCTTCTGATCAAAATTTTTCAGATAATGAATCACACATTGAATTAGATAATGATTTGGATATTTCAACTACATCATCGCATAGTCTAGAAACCGTCTTGGAAATCAAAAACTTGGATGGTCAACAAACCCAACAAACTATCACACCAAAAATTTTTGATTCAGATAACATTCAACCTATATTGGCTGATATTTTTCAAGAAGAATCAACCAGGACTGTTGCTTTTGTGCCTAGTTTTATGTCAGAGGGAGAGCCACTTGAAGTCGAAGATGTTATAATAAGTCATCAGGTATTTTAAATTCTGAAAATTTTTGTTCTTGATCATAATCATCATTATTATCATATTGATGATTATCAATTAGGTTCGGCATCAAGTTGCGATTCCTCCTGGTTATAATTATATTCCACTTTCTAAACACGTTTCGCCCGCAGAGCCTGCAAGAATATATCCATTTGAATTGGATCCATTTCAAAAAGTTGCAATACAATGTATAGAAAGATTTGAATCAATTCTAGTTAGTGCACACACTTCTGCTGGAAAGACAGTTGTTGCAGAATATGCTATCGCGCAAGCTTTGAAAAATAAACAAAGAGTCATTTACACCACCCCAATAAAGGTATGAACGATTTCAATAAAATAAACTTCTTTTTTAATTATTTTATTCTAGTAATTAAATTGTTAATTATTACTATTATATATTTAAGGCTTTAAGCAATCAAAAATACAGAGAATTAGAAAATTCTTTTGGTGACGTTGGATTGATAACTGGTGATGTTACTATTAAACCTGATGCAAGTTGTTTAGTGATGACTACAGAGGTAGTTTTAGAATCCTTTACATAAAGAATTATATATACATATATAAATTAATAAATCATTATTCAAAAAAATAGATTTTATTGACTATGCTCTATCGTGGCAATGAAATGATGCACGAAGTGTCATGGGTAATTTTTGATGAGATACATTATATGAAAGATAAAGGTATTCGAAAATTTACAAGATGAATTAATTAATTAGTGTAAGAAAAAAATTTATTTTTAGTTAACATTTTTATTTGATTTTAATCCAGTCCGTGGTGTAGTTTGGGAAGAAACTATTATTCTTTTATCGCACCAAATTCATCTTGTGTTTTTATCTGCAACAATTCCAAACGCTATGGAATTTGCAGAGTGGATATGTAAAATACATGCAGAAGTAAGATTTTATATAAAAAAAATTTTTTTTTGGTATTTGATTATTAATTAACTTTATAGTTTAATTTAAAAATATGCATTGTTTCTTAATAGCCATGCCATGTTGTATATACTGATTTCCGTCCAACACCTTTACAGCATTATATTTATCCTTGTGTAAGTGACGGTATTTTCATGATTGCAGATGAAAAAGGAAATTTTCACCAAGAAAATTTTACAAAAGTAATAGGGATGTTGGATGTAGGTGCTAACACTAATGCTGAATATATTGATTATAAAGGAAAGAAAAAATCAACACTACCACAAACAATAAAAGGTATTAAAACAATAACAATTATTAATGTCTTTTTGATTACTAGTACCTACAAGAATTATAAAACTTATTGCTTAAACTTAGGCCCATCCGATGTTTACAAAATAGTAAATATGGTTATGCTAAAAAAATATGATCCAGTGATATTTTTTACTTTTAGTAGAAAAGAATGCGAGAATTTGGCACTGCATATAAATCATTTGGATTTAAATACTGGTAAAATAAATTTATTTAACTTTAGTTGTACCTTTTAATTTTATCATCTTTAACGACATCATTATTATTTTAGATGAAGAAAAGGATTTAATACAACAAGTATTTGACAATGCACTTAACTTAATTCCTGAAGATGATCAAAATATACCACAAATTGAACACATGTTACCATTTTTAAAGCGTGGTGTTGCAATTCATCATTCAGGATTATTACCGTTTCTTAAAGAGGTTGTTGAATTACTTTTCCAAGAAGGATTAATTAAAGTTCTTTTTGCGACTGAGACATTCTCAATGGGTCTTAATATGCCTGCTAAAACTGTTATATTCTCTGATATTAAAAAGTTCGATGGTGAAGTTGTAAGATATGTAGGTTGTTTACAATGATTGTTATCACTATTATCATGTCAAATCAAAATCTAAATTAATTTTTGAATAAATTATTATTATTTTTAGTTAACTTCTGGTGAATATATTCAAATGTCTGGTCGAGCTGGTAGAAGAGGTCTTGATACAAGAGGAATTGTAATAATTATGGCAAGAGAAAAATTAGAACCATCAGTTGTTAAAGGAATGATGACGGTAAATTAGAATTTAAGAGTTACTAGCTATTTAATCAGTTTATTAAAAAAATCATTTAATTTGTTTGTTTCTAAAAATAGGGCGAACCTGATAATATATACTCTGCATTTCATTTGAAATATAATATGATCTTAAATATGACAAGAGTTGAAGGAATTAGTCCTGATTATATTCTCCAGAGAAGTTTCTATCAATTTCAAAATACATCAGGATTACCAAAACTTGATGCAGGTAAAGATTATTAATTGGCTAGAAATAATTTTTTTTTATATCAAATAAATATTTACATGAAAATTTCATAATAGAACTTCAGAGACTAGAAAAAGAATATAAAGAAATTGATATACCTGAAGAAGAAGAAATTAAAGAGTATTACAATATTCGTTCACTATTAGATACATATACTCATGAAATAAGGAATACTATAAACCATCCACTTAATATTCTGAAATACATGAAGCCTGGTCGTTTAGTTTGGATAAAACATGCAAATGCGGATTTTGGCTGGGGTATGGTAGTTTCTTGGGGAAAAAGAAAGGTATTTAAATCAAATAAACAAATCTAAAACCATATAAATAAATAATTTTATAAATTATTTCAAAGTAAAATATTAATAATCAATATTATTATTAAAATAGAGTCCCACTGATGAAACAATAAAAGAATTAAAATCAGTGGAGGATAAATCAGATTTGAATCAAGTAGTGGTTGAAAATTTAATAGAAAATTCAAATCATCAAGAGCTTTTTTTACCTCCGGATCATTATTTTGTTGATGTAATGTTAAATTGTGAATCTGATGAATCACATGTTGCTAAACCAGCAGATGATAAAATAATTACTGCAAAACCTTACAGTGGAAATGGTTTAGGAGAGATGATGGTATTATAAATCATTATGATTTTACGTAATTTTTTTCTTCCTTTTCATTTAACAATTAATAAATTTTAAATTAATCATTTATAAAATTAGATTGTTCCTGCTGATTTTTCTACTATTAATTATATAAGTCAAATATGTATCTTTCCACCCAAGGATCTAACACATGATGATTGTAAAAAGACAGTATACAATAGTATAATGGATATTAAAGAAAAATTTGCTGAAGGAATACCACTTTTAGATCCAATAGAGCATATGGGTATTGAAGAAGAGAACTTTCAAAGACTAATAAAAGTAATTAGACATATTTAAATATTTTAATATTTTTTTTTTTTTTGAAATGAAATAATGTATATTTAATAACTATATGTGTTTTAGAAAATTGAGGTTTTAGAAACAAAACTTGTGACCAATAAACTCCACAATACAGACAAACTACCTAAGCTATATGAACTACACTGTAAAAAGAATGAGCTCAAACTTAAGATAAAATCGTTAAAAAAGACAATTAATATTGCAGAATCTATTTTACAACTTGATGATCTTAGGCGCCGTAAGAGAGTTCTTCGTCGATTAGGATATTTATCAGAAAATGATGTTGTTACAATTAAAGGGCGTGTTGCTTGTGAGATTAATGCAGGGGATGAACTTGTATTAACTGAAATGTTGTTGAATGGTGTATTTAATGATTTATCACCAGAAATGGCTGCAGCCCTTTTAAGTTGTTTTGTATTAGAGCGACCTAGTGATAAGAAATCAGGATTTGTTAAAGAAGAATTTTCTACAGTTTACAGTAAATTACAAGAGGTTGCACAAAATGTTGCTACAGTATCTGTTGAGTGTAACATCCCATTGAATAAAGAGGAATACCTAAGCTTGTTTCCTTCGGATATGATGGAAATTGTTTATAACTGGTGTTGTGTAAGCAGTCAAAAATAATATCCATGCTTTGTTTTTATGGTAATTTTTTTAATATTAATACTTTTTTGATGGATTTAGGGAAAACCATTTACAGAAATTATAAAAATGGGTGATTCAATTTTTGAAGGAGAAATTGTTCGTACTTTTCGTTATCTTGACGATTTATTACGAGGAATGATTGCAGCATCAAAGAGTATTGGGAATAGTGAATTAGAAGAGAAATTTAAAGAGGCCATTGAAAAAACAAGGCGTGGTATAATTTTTGCTGCTTCCTTGTACCTTTGATATTTTTATATTTTATATTTTTATTTAGAATTTACTTCTATTACAAATAATTGTATATAAAATAAAGAATAATTTAGATATATATATAAAGGATAATAATGGTATTCTCGAGCTCTTTGTAGTTTATTAAGTGAATTAACTTGATTAAAAAATTTTGGTTTTTGAAAGCAATTTTTGCAGTGCAAACTAGTCTTGGATCATGATTCTGCGAAAGATATTTTTGATTTATGTCATGTGACGTTAAATAAAGACGTAGAGTATTCATTTCTTTTTAGCGAGTTCTACCTTCACCTTTGGTCACCACAAGAGCTTTCAGCTCCATCCATTCTTGTCAAGCCAAGTTTATGAAACAGCTTGAGGAGAGGATTTCTTTATTATCAGAGGTCTTTTTCGCTTTGTATCATAAATCACTGTATCGTATGCATGAAATTAATTCTCTTGCCCGCTTATAGATTTACTCTCTTCTTACAGAATTCAAAATAAGGTCACAGGAATGGCGTAAACTTATGGGATCTGGAAAAGTTTGGGAAAATTGCGGATTCTTTTATTTTCCTTGCTCAACAGGCTTTCGAATGAAGCATATCAAAATTTTGGAAGAAATCGATGCCTTCAAAACCACTGTAAAAATCTCTGCTGTGGAACTTTTACATGTATGACCGTGAGTTAGAAGTGAATTAATTGGGAGAAACATGAAAAGTTTGGAACTCGTTGGCGAGGCTCTACAACTTGAATTCAATATTCGTCAACATTCTGATATTTGGCTCGGTGATTCTAAAAGAAATAATAATATTTGAGCACTGAACATGTAATGTGATAAATACTACAAAGAAAAACCACTGGCAAAAAAAGCAGACCATAATGAACAAGCAAATCATAAAGCAGGTTACAAACAGAAGCCTGACATAGTTATGTGAGTTGACCCTTTCTCAGGTCTCCCATACTACCTTTCGGTAGACCACAACGAAGCAAATCGTAAAACAGGCTACAAGCAGAAGCCTATCGTAGTTATGTGAAATTGACCCTTTCTCAGGCTCTGGATACCTTCTGTACTGCCTGCTGGTCATACATTACAAAAATACTTTCCTCAAATTTTTACTTTAATCGTTTGAAATTCTTTCCGAGTTAGTATTTTTCTGTAGAGATTAGAACTTTTTTTAGTTTATCTGCATCTTTTTGAAATGAAAAAAAAAGTCATCCTTTTCTAAACGATGTTGGTAAACAATACTGGTCGGGCAATGTTTCGTTAAAATAGGAATCCCACTTACTGGATATATCCATTGTTCAAAGCAAATCTTAAGAAATATAGTGAACAAAAAATTAAGTTTATTTAAAGGTGATCAATCACAATAATACAGTCAAACCTTGCCACAGCGAACTATAATTAAATTCTTGTCGTGATGGGGTTTTAAAATTTTTGCTTGTATAAAAACATAATAATAATAATCCGTTGTGGCAAAGTAAATAAAATTTTCTTATTATTATTATGTATCCCGTTCATCTTGCTGTGACTGTATGCGTAACATTATTTTACCCTATTTAGATTCACTGATTGTATTTGATTATGATCATCTTTAACTGCTTCTACTTTTTGAATTAATGCTAATTAAAGTTATCGATTGATTTTTTAGCTGGTTAGTTCTTGTTTATAAAGGAAAAAATATATTTTTAATTAAAAAATAATTGAAAACCTTTCAATCCTTCTTGCAATTCAATCACTTCCCTAAAGAAGAATAATGATTTTTTTAAAAGAAATAAAGTTAAAAGAATATTACATTATTCGAAATTGATTGATAATAAAATTACTTTATTAACACTGATCTTTCTTCTGCACTTAATTCATTCTCATTTGTTTCTGTTGTTACTTTGGATGTTTCTGAAACTGATGACATTTTTAATTTATTATTTTTACTATTTAATTATTTCAACAAAAGATTCATGTTGTTGCTAAATGTGTAATTAGAATTTTTAAAAACCATGTGATATTTAAATGTTGATGATCAAAAAAAATTTTTTTTTGAAAAAATTATCAATCAAAAAAAGAAGGAAAAAATTTTTTTTTTTAATTTTAAAACCTTTTCCCATTGTTAGATATTTTTTTTTTTAATAAAAATAAAAGTCATGGATAGATTTCCAGCTATATTAAATGGTAATTAATTGATCAATTAATCAATCAATTAGTTTTTTAAAATCTATTTTTATAAAATTTTTTTGATGAATTTTTAAAATCAGATTATATAAATTAATATTAACTAATTGATTTTTTAACAAAAAAATATGTTTAGCTAAAGAGGAGGATATTAGTCTTCTCCTAGCAGCTCAAACTTATATCGGAGCTAAAAATTTAAATGTTCAAATGACTCCTTATGTCTTTAAACGACGTCCAGATGGTAACATATAGATGGATATTTATATATAATATATATAATATATAAATATATAAATATAATATATACAAAACATATAAATGATTATCAAATTTTTAAAAAAAATTTTTTTTTTTTAAAAAAATAGGTGTTCATGTCATTAATATTGGTAAAACATGGGAAAAGTTGATTTTCGCAGCCCGTATCATTGCGACCATAGAAAATCCTGCCGATGTTTGTGTTATTTCAGCTCGTCCATATGGTCAAAGAGCAGTATTAAAATTTGCATCTTATACACAAGCTCAACCTATAGCCGGTAGATTTACTCCAGGCACATTTACAAATTATATCACTCGCTCTTTCAAGGAACCCAGATTAATCATAGTAACTGATCCACGTAGTGATCATCAAGCTATCAAAGAAGCCTCATATGTCAACATCCCGGTGATTGCATTGTGTGACACAGATTCTCCTCTTAAATTTGTAGATGTCGCAATTCCAACCAACAATAAGGGTAAACATGCTATCGGTTTAATATACTGGTTATTGGCTCGTGAAGTTCTTCGTCTTCGTGGTACCATTT